GCAGAGCAGCAGCTGGGTGGTGGTGCTTCTCTCCGAGAGATGAGGAGTGTGCGGTGAGCACACGGGCACAGGACGGGCACTGGGCATTGTGCTTTGATCAGCAGGGTTCTGTGGCGAGGGCAGGTTATCACAGGTCTCTAGAAAAACACAGATGGACATCCTGTTAAGGTGCTACTTGACATAAAAAGACAAAAATTTGTAAGGTCACTGACCCTAACACAGGTCACTACAGTGGGATTCATAGTTTCTTGTCTAGTTCCCAGGCCAAGAGCCTCTCAACTGAGGGGAGACCAGATGCCTCTGTGGGAAGACCCAGCTGCCTTACCAAATTGTAAACCACATACCTCAAGCTAGCCTGCCTGCAGGGGGCCCGAGGCAATTTACTAGGGAGACTGCGTATGGTGGGGTGGGAGAAGGAAAATACCCAGACTTCCCAGGGGTTATAAGACAGTGGTTCTGAGCCTTAAACACCTTCACTGTCTACTGATTAAATAGGAATTGGGGGGGGTAGGTGGAAATTGGCCCACACCCCACTGGCAGTGTGTACAGTGTCTATTGAGTGATGACTGAGTGTTCATGTACAGCAGGGACGGATGTGCCTGATAACCAGAAGAATCCCACAGGGATTCCCTATAGTGGAGTGAGAGCTGCAGCAGGTGGGGCGGAGGGCAGGAAGCTCCTGGGGCTGTGCTCCTCCTTCCTCATTTCTTTTTCTTTTTCTTTCTTTTCTTTTTTTTTTTTTGAGACAGAGCCTCAAGCTGTGCCCCTGGGTAGAATGCCGTGGCATCACAGCAAACAGCAACCTCCAACTCCTGGGCTCAAGCGAACCTCCTGCCTTCATCTCCCAGTTAGCTGGGACCACAGGCGCCTGCCACAACGCCTGGCTATTTTTTGGTTGCAGCCATCATTGTTGTTTGGTGGGCCTGGGCTGGATTCGAACCCACCGGTTTTGGTGTATGTGGCTGGTGCCTTAGCCACTTCAGCCACAGGCGCCGAGCCTCCTTCCTCATTTCTAACAGCACAGTCAGTCCTGCAGAAAGACGGGCAGAGATGCATGTTATCCCCGGAGGCCTGAGAGATATAGGGAGGGTGTCCTTCCACCTTTAACTCCCTGTTTGGCTGGAGCAAAAGCTAAATGGGTCATGGGAAATTACAGTTGTTTTTTTCCAAACTCAGTATGATGGTGATGCCAGCTGCAGATGTGTTTCCGGATGTGGTAACGTCACTGGAGCAAGTCAGCGTAGCCTGTGGCACCCAGTATGTAGCCATGGATCTGGCATGTGCTGTCCTTCTATTCCAAGCAGCAAGAAACATCAGAGCCAGTCCACTTTGGGCAGACACAGACAATACAATTTATACTCTCCTGCCCCAGAACAATGCCACCTCCCCTGCTGTGTGCCATGATATCATCCTGAGGGTCCCTGACCACCTCTATATCCCAGAGGACACCACACCTGTCCAGGACATGGGAGAAGCAATGCAATGGGATTTGATTAGCGTGAAGTAGCAGGCCAGAGTGCGGGAGACAGACACTGCAAGTGTTCATGGGCTGGTGATGTTTCTCAGGGTCTAGTAGTCTCTGGCACATTGCGATAGCTGAATCTTGTACCACCCACAGGGAGGCAGAAGCACAATGCTTGCTGGACTTCTGCATGTTTTAAAGGTGACACAGAACATATAACTTGAAGGGCTGGCAGCTTTGTGTGGATTAGTATGTGGAAGGGTCCATGTTGTGATGCGAGCTTCCCTGCCACTTGGGCATCATGACCCAGGACACTCCACATATTGGGAGTATCTGTAGTTGTGTGGGGCCTGGGGCGCGCTCAGCAGGAGGATAATAGCACAGAAACTTAGGTTTGTTTTAGTGAAAAGTAGTTCTTGCCTTGCTCCTGGGCCCCGTTAGAGACACTTCTGACTATGGGGTGCCAGGCAATGATGTTGCTGTCATGAACTGGGTGACATGCCATCCACTGAAACGCAAACCGAACACGAACAGCAGCGTTTCACTTTGGACATCGAGCCTCTTAGGGTCACATGTGCTGCACAAGCAAAGGGCCCAGGCTTCCACATACTTCCTTCCTCCCAACGACCTTGATGCTTTTCCATCAACGCCCACTTTTGTCTTCAAGGGAGGTAGAATATCAGATGTCCAACGCAGTATTGGTTACACTTGTCCAACTTGATCATTAACATCAACAACCTCTTTCATTGTTAAGGGTGTCCCAGTTTGGAGGATCAATGATATGGCCGCCCTGTTTATAACCAGTCAGTGGAGAGGAAAGGTCCGTGTCTGGTTTATTGGTACAGTATTCTCTATCAGCTGGACGTGGACAGTCAGTGCACTGCAACCCCACTCAGCGGGTGGAACTTTAAATTGCATTCCTGGTGTCTGTTTTGTGTGAAGGGAAAGATGGCCTAAGACAGCAGTCCCCCACCTTTTTGGCACCATTGACAGTTTCATGGAAGGCAATTTTTCCATGAAAATATCCAGGGGACAGGCATTAGATTGTTATTAGGAGCACACACTCAGACCTCTCAACTGTACGGTTTATGTAGGGCTTGTGACCCTGTGAGACTCTAATGCCCATGCTGATCTGACAGGAGGCAGAGCATGGGCCATGATTTGCACTATGAGGAGCGGCTGCAGCTGTGAATACAGATGAAGCTTTCCTGGCTTGCGGGTTGCCAATCTCCTGCTGTGTGGCCCAGTCCCTACCGGTACCAGCCCATGGCCAGAGTTTGGGGATTGCAGGCCTCAGATCCAGAGCTACACTGCTCAGGGTTAGATCAGATTAGTCACCTGGTCAGGGATTTGGAAACAATAAAATTGGGAGATAGTTGATAAGGAAGGTAAACAAGACAAGTTATTTGGACAGCTCTCTCTGAAGGGGACAGAGTGTGAAGATATGTTTCTCAGGTAACTGGTTTCTCAGATACGTTCCTCTGGCTGTGCGTGGGAAACAGAAGAGGAGGAAATTCTCAATAATCCAGACGGCCTCTCCGGATGGTGGCGTTCAGCCTCTTTTCCTTCCTATAGTTGGGTTTGCCCAGTGGGTCTGTGTTTGAAGCAAGGACGGTGGCAGGGATAGAGGCCCCGACCACATAACACGCTCCCTCATCATGTGGATCTATCTGGTTGTGCCCACTGCTAAGTGCCCCAGTGCCACCAACAGAGGCCAAGTCCGAGGCCCCGATGTGATGACTCCCCCAGGGAAGTCATGTGGCCTCGCAAATACATCCTTCAAATGACTCGGAGGGCCCACGGGGGCAGCGATGGAGCGTGAATAGAAAAGCACAAATTCATTGGGTAATGGGAACGATTCCACTCTTATGCTGTTACTGCTGCTGTTTTGCTGAGTTCTTTTTAGAAAAGGATCAGCCGAAAAAGAAGGAAAGCAGCTTCGGCAGTTCCACCTGCCCACTTCAACTCATTCAGCTCTCACAGCGAGCCTGTGTGCCAGGTGGCAGCTCACCTCAGAAATGAGAACCCAGGTGCAGAGAAGTTAAGCTCCTCAACTGAAGCCTCAGACGATAAGAGGTGATGTCAGGTTTGGACCCAGATCTCTCTGTGTGCCTCCTACAGGACTGTCCTTCAGGACACTGTCTGGGAGCTAAGGTGGGTCTCAGCAGGTCTCTGCTGGCCCCTGTGGACATCACTCTCCCCTCCTCACACCTTTGCCAGAGGCAGCAGGGGAGGCCGACTGAGCTTTACCTACTGTACGTCTCTCAGCTCTGATCTATGAAGAGAGGATGGTGCCCACCTGCCCCTACTGAGGCTCCCGACACATCCCCTGGGCCCTTTATCCAGGGCTGGGAATATCCAACCATGGAAGGAGGGGGGGTCTCTGCTTCATGGAGTCTAAGACCTGGGCAGGGCAATTTAGGATAAGGTGGAGAGAGTGGGGTAGGAGGGGTGACCAGCTATGGGCTGGTGCCTCTCAATTTAGGCAGATGCCCTGACCACACACACCTGCCAGGGTAGTAAGTGAGGGCCGTTCTTTGCATGTCTCCTTTCCATGTTACATTTCACAGGAATGAGCTAATTCAAACATGGTGCTTCTCACTCTGCAGTTGCTACAGGCACTGTCCCGAGAAAACCTGTGCGATCCCTCCTAGGCCTGTGAGGCCCCTCAGGACGGGTGAGGGCCCATCTGGCTCCAGGGACACCCTGAGCCTGGCCTTTCCTGTGCGATCCCTCCTAGGCCTGTGAGGCCCCTCAGGGCAGGTGAGGGCCCATCTGGCTCCAGGGACACCCTGAGCCTGGCCTTTCCATAGCACTTTTTGGGATTTGTTAACCCCACGATTCTCTCTCACTGGTCACACCCACTGTGAGCTCTGAAGGAAGGGACTGTGTCCCCTGTGCCCTGCACGGTGCCCAGGGGACGGGTAGATACACTTCCAATGACAGAATGAATGAATTGAATAAAATGAATCAAGGCGCAGCAATAGTAGGGGGTGAGATGCTTTTCTTCTGAATTTAAATATAAATAATAAGCATAGAATTGCTGACATTTTCAGTGAGAAAAATTTTTTATTTAAAATAGGCTAAGTGAGCTTTTGTAAACTAGATTAAATAAAATACTCTACAAATGAGAATTTTAAATCCAATATACCAAACCCAGTAATACCAGTCAGTTCTTCCCCAGTCCCCGTTTAATAAACATGTGTCTGTCTTGGCTTAGAGAAGAAAAGCGGCCCATATTTCCTGGACGTCATAGTGTCGCGCTAGTTAGAGAGACCCCAATGCCTAAGACGTAGGAAGCGGTGATTATCAAATGCTGAGACTAGACTCGCTCCCAGGTTAACAGTACTTGTAAATCCCACAGAAGGTTGGTATGTTTTATTAAGATATAGTGAAAGCAAGAAGGAGACCTACACTATTTCTAGCCACTTGTATTTATTAATACATGCTTCATGCTTTTAATGCTTTGCTGCGGAGGGTAGCAAGTATTTGAGCGGGAAGGTGCAGTGTGGGGGGTGGGGACCCAGCTGGGAGGCCGTCAGGGCTCCTGGTAGCGCCACACCTCGCGCGCGGCCTGGGCCTGCTGCGCTCTGTTCCCCGGCGCCGACGACGTCTCCAGAAGGTCCGGGGCCCCGGTGGTGTCGGTGGTGGCTTCCAGGGGTGTGGTCACGTCAGCCGCGTAGGTCCCGTAGATATCGGCCAGCTCTGGGGTCATCAGCGGGTCTGCCGCGGCCGGGGTGACCCCGGGAGGCCCCAGCCTCTGCCCCGCGGGGCCCCGTGCCAGGCTGGGGTCCTCGTCGTCAGGGAAGGCCAGGAGCCCCGGGTGAGCGCCGGGCGCGAGCTCTGGGGGCAGAGCGGGTTGCTCCGGGTGGGCTGGGCTGGCCTCTGGCCCGGGGGTGTCCGGGGCGCCTCCTTCTCCCTTCTCAGGGCCTTTGGTGGCGGCGAGCGGGGAGTCAAACTCCAGCGTGAAGTCCCCACCCATGGCCGGGTTGTGGGGCAGGCCCCCAAGGCTGGGCCTCAGGCCGCCGAATCCCGGGAACACGGCTTCGTAGCCCATGGGGCCTCCTCGCCCTCCCTGGGGAGGAAAACCTTGGTCAAAGACGCCGCCGTCGCGCGCGGTTGGCTGCCCGGCGCGGTTACACCTGCTCACGTTGAGAGCCAGACGACAGGGACAGGGACAGGGACCCGGGAGTGGCCCAGCCGGGAGTGGGAGTGGACGGTATGCAGAGGCACGGGTCTTACTGGCTCTGAAACTGGATTGGAGGGTTCTGTACTTATCCAGCCTGAGGCCGCTGCCATGAATGGGCAGCCAGGAGGGCAGCAGCGGGGCGGAAGCAAGGCTTGAGGCACAGTGGGTTTGCATTTAGTTTCAAGAAAATAACAAGCAGCTAAAACGGGCCCTGACACAGTAAACAAAAACTGAAATCCATCTTGGGAATGGCATTTTTCAGTGTCCCCCAAATGTCTGAAACTCCACTTAAGAATTTTTTTTTTTTTTTTTTAGTACAAGGGGTAAGAAAAAGTTCAATTTCTCTGGAGGAACTAAAACTAAACTTTTTCTTACTGTGGGCAGATAGAATTCCAGAAATAACCTTTTTTTTTTTTTTTTAAATCCCCCCCTACCTTTGTTGCCAGGAAAATGAGAGGCAAACTCTCAGGCTGGTTGAAACAGTTGAGTGTGACTTGTGTATCTTGATTCTGACTTCCTCATGATTTTGACTCATTTTAAATCTTACCCTCAGTTTCTTGTTATATTTATTGTGTAGCTTTTTGTAAGCTACTGAAACATCTTTTGGGAATGAAACGGACTATAAATGATTTACTATGACAAGGTGGTAGATACCACTTGCTTGAATTTTGAGTTTTGAGCCAGTGTTGGTGCTCTGTGGACCGCACCCCTTCCTGCCACCTTCCCCTGGCCTTTCACTATCTGGGTCTCAGCTTCTGTCTCCTTTCTTCCAGGGATGGCACGTGAAGCCCTGGGCTGCACTGACTGTTTTTCTCTCCTCCTCTTTCCCTCTAATGAAGCTATTCTTGCTGTTGTCCGATAATTGTGACACATCTGCCCTGTGCATTCAAGTCGCTAGAGCTCCCTGAAAACAGGGGCTGATCTCACCTCATCAACAATATCTTCCTATGTGCCTGGACACAGAAGGCTCTCAAAAATGTCAAAATGTGAGTTTTCATTCCCTGATAGCATATGTGTATATTTATTAATTTGATAGAATGTGTAGCTGATAATGACGTGTTAATTCAGTCTGGCTTTGGTTTTGACTTGTTGGGTACTCCAACAGATGTAACAGGTAGAAAAAAGTCACATCATGTGAGTCTGTGGATCTCAACCTTGTGGTGTGCATGGGTAATGATAACAGAGTGAGAATATACTCTCACTGACAATGCAATTTCAAGTTCATAGTAATCACATTTTAAAGTTGGCTTATTTCCTTTTTCTTTTAGACCTTTCTCTTTTGAATGACAAGGCTGTTGAATTTGGTGTTTGGAGGGGGTTAAATGACCCTACAAGGAACAGGGACTCTGTGTGAGTGACACAGATCTTTTTGGTTTGAAGGGTTTATAGATAATGAGGCCTTCACCTGCCCTGCATTGAAAAGACATACACAGGGCAGATGTGTCAAAATTATGGGGTAACAGCAAGAATAGCTTCATTAGAGGGAAAGAGGAGGAGAGAAAAACAGTCCTGCTGCCCATATACAAGGAATGGGGTAAAACCCTATGCTCAGGAATGGCCAAGACTCAGAAGTGAGTGACTATTTAGGAAACATGATGAAATTTTTGGATACTGCTTTGGAATCAGGCTGTTGGTTTTGGAGTGGAAACGTCTGAGTCCCTTGCTTATTTGGCCATACTCGTGAACAGAGTCTCTTGCAGCCGTCATCTGTGACTATTCTTCCCCCTGTCACTATTTTAAGAAGCATTAGAGGGTATTACTCACAGCCATTTCTTCAGAACTCATGATGCCAAGTCTACCAGGGGCATTCTGTCGAAAAAGAAACATTGCATCATATTATGAACTAGCAGCCTGTTTTACTTTCTTAGCTACTCAAGACAAAGTTATGCCATTTAGTATTTCATTAAGTCTTTATATTATTGCTGTGTCCAGAGGCAGAATAAAGTGGAGAGGTGAGTCATTATCAAATAAATGTAGCCAAGTTGGATAATTCAGATCTAGAAATTATTTTTTGTTCAATAACTGTGTGTGAGAACGTGTCTGGCCAGAATTATCCAAATAGGAAGTGTGCCTCCTTACTATTTCAAAGAGTTCTTTGGAATCTCTTATGTGAGGCCTGGATTTTATAATTTCAGTTCTTAAGATAACATTAATTCAATATGATTTTTTAATAGAAGATGGACTTACCAATTGATTTGCTCCATAGGACACATAAAACATTCCTGGATAAAGCTAAATAAATTATGATAGTTATTACAAAATGCATTTTCCAAGGAAAAAAGTTTTCAGTAAATTGCAAAAAGAGAAGTGGTATTTACAAGAAAAACAACTTACTGGAGACTGTTTATTTTGTGGCATTGGGCCCCGAGCTATCAAACGGGCAATTTGGAATATCTTCAAATGATAGAAAACAGAAATAAGTAATTTAACAAGCATATCTCTAGATAAGAGTTATGTGAAACATATTATCAGATGGATTACTATGAAAAAATATTTAATACTTAAGAAAACAAAATAACCTGTTATATTTCATATTTATGGATAAATGAGACTAGTAAAGTATTTAGCTCTTTTTTTCTTTGAAGACTAAAGAGATTTTCTTTTTTTTTTTTTTTTTTTTTGAGACAGAGTCTCACTTTGGCGTCACAGCTCACAGCAACCTCAGACTCTTGGGCTCAAGAGATTCTCTTGCCTCAGACTCCCAAGTAGCTGGGACTACTGATACCACTACAGTACCCCGCTATTTTTAGAAATGGGGTCTCACTCTTGCTCAGGCTAATTTTGAATATCTGTGCTTGAGCAATCCACTTGCCTTGGCCTCTCAGAGTGCTAGCATTATAGGTGTGAGCCACTGCACACAGCCTTGAAGTATAAAGAGATTTTCCCCAAGAAAGTGTCTCACTGAGATCTGTACTTACTGATGGACCTTGTGGACCAGCAAAATCCATTATTGGGAGCTGTGTCACAGAGAAAGATTAAAAAGTACCAGTCAGAACAGAGTCAACGGGGCATATAGGTACCTTGTTTACAGTTATGATGAAACAATCTGAAATGAGTTTCTCTGTCTTACTTTCTTTTAGCCTTTGGGGGAGACATGACCCAAGAATCTATGATTTATGATTGTCTTTTACCAGCATGAAGCATGTATGGGCAGGTAGGTGAGACGCGTCTGTCACGGATTTTCTATCCCTTGGAGAGTAAAAAGCAATGAATTCTGAAATTGGAACATACTTGGTTGGTTTGAATCCTGGCTCTGCCACTTGGTTTTTGTGTAATCCTGGGCAAATTTTGTAACCTCCTGAAGTCTGTCTTCCTCTCTTTAGAAAGGCTGATAATATCTATTTTTTAGGAGTGTGGTCAGGATGATGTGGGGAAGGTTACGTGCCTGCAGCCAACTGGTTCCTTTTCTGTGTACTGCACTGTTCTCCGCATCATTACAAGGTATTTGGATGGTTGTGTTTCTCTGTCAGAGAGACAATAATGCAGAATCCTACTTGCTCTGCTGAGGGGTCCACCATTCTTCTTAAGCTTTCCAACGCTGAAAAGACCAGCGTCAGGAAGCCTGGACTTTCCTGGGCTGCCCTATTCCCTCTGGACACTTCCACCCTTTGTAGCTAAGAAACCAAGTTTTACAGGTGCAGGGCTTTAGAACCTGTGCCTGTCTCTGATGGCAAAGGACATCATGTAATGTTCTATTAAAAAACATGTCTTAGATCTGGAAGACTATCAGAGCATATTTATATTTTCTCGCATTATGCCTGAGAACCATGATAGCTTAAAAGCACCCTGGAACTGGGTCTTTTTTCATTAGGTTAGAGAGTGACCCTGATCTGACTTCAGAGGAAGGAAGTACCTCAGGCTTTGGGAGCTTCTCTTCTGGTGCCACCTGTTCCTGGACGGCGGGCAGTTCTCCTTCCTGCAAGGGCAGCTGTCCCAGGTGGACTGGAGGCTGAGGCCTGCCCTTCTGTGCGGTGCCCTGGACGGCGGTCGCGGCCGTGGGCTGGAGGAAAGGCTTTAGTCCTGCCTGTTGAGGCTGCAGAGCTGGCTGTGATGGGAGAGGTGGGGGGTGCACAGGCAAAGAATATTCATACTGCAGAGAGATTTGAAAACAGTGTCAGGAAAGAATGACTCATTAATCCAGGGTGTCTAGAATTTCTAAAGCAAGAGGGCTTGAGGTGCTTTCTGTCCTGAAGCTATTTCTATGTGGGAAACATGAGTTTACTCAGAATCAATGTCATCTGGGGAGGTCTTGTGTGTGCCAGGCCCCCCTCCCTCCTCAGGGACTGCCTTTGTTCTGGAAGATGGGGTGCAATGTGAACTTCTTGGTGGAACGAGCCTCTTTCTCCTCTGGGCGCCCATAGCTGCCTGTAAATGTCTTTATTGTACTACGTATTCACTGAGTTTACAATTACTCCTTACAAATTTTTGTCCCCCAGTCAGTGGGGAGAGAGTGATACATCTTATTTATCTCGAAAACCCACACTTTACATAGCTCCTAGTAAGTGACTAGCACAGCATGAGTGCTCAATACATTTCTTGAATTAAGGAAAGGATAAAGGGTAATTAAATAAAACATTGACCAAATTCCTGCAGTAGAGAGTCCATCTTGGACATAATTTATCAGGTGAAGACATAGTCGTCTTTAACAAAATTCATTGATTCATTGTCCTACCGAGTGTGGCCTGGAGGTAATTTAGCTCCCGCAGTGGGACACCACAAGGCCCACACATTTCCTGTAAAGCCGCCATGTTCACAGCTTCTTGTAGAAATTACACATGACAGGTGGATTGGTTGCAAACTCCCCAAACCAGCAAGGAAGTCTCACAACCGGTGCCCACACTGAACGTCACACTTCAGCACCTTGACAGACCGGGCGTTGTTTGTCTGAGACTTCCTGCTCTTGGGAGCCCTTCCCAAATGTCTCCACTTTTACTCTCAAACCACAATCTGGTTCCTGTATTTATTAGGCACCTAATAACTAACGGTTAACAGCTTGGTTTATTTATTGACTTCTGTAGGGCTCATGATGTTTTAACTGAGATATTTGCCATCATTTGAATAATTATTGAGGAGATCTTGATTAAAATGAAATTGTCTGAGATGCAGCCTGCTTCCATTCTGGGGAGCTGTTTGCCTGTGGTTAATGCTGGTATCTGTAGTATAGGCCTCTTATATTTTGGAGGACTATGTTATCATCCTATTTAAGATAAATGTACAAATGGGTTAAAATTTAAAAGAATTTTCTAAGTGCTGGGAGCAGTTTTAGGTTTTGTTTTGTTTTGTGTGAGGTCACTTTATCAGTAATTGCCAGTACTGTCTGTTGCTAGTGATTCCCAGGTTAGAGAAAGCAAGTTGGGAGAGCTCTTAAAGCCTGAAGTTCCAAGGCCATGCTGATGTCACTCACTTACTTGCTGAGTTTCATGCTCCCGAGGCCTCATCCACGGGAGGGAAGGCTGTGGGGGGAGGAGGCCCTGCAGCCACAAGGAGTTAAATGACTTCCCAAAGCCAAACCTTGAATACTTCAGACATGCAGGAAAAGAAAGACATGGTCATATTTTAATATTGGATTAAACCTGGCTTTCATTTTCTAAAAATATCCACAGATAGGGTATAGATAGCAAAAGTGATGCGGGTTAACTTAACATGGACCGGCAAACAAACTTTCCCTTTCAGCAGACTTCAAGTCCATTCCGAGCCAGACTGCCCTTTTCCCATAAACTTGTTTGCGTTTTGTCTCTTTAAACATTTGTGTTTTGGGCCATATAATTAAACTGTTAACTTTAGAAAGGATTTTTTTTCACTGTAGAAAATTCAATATTGTTTTTATTTTTCCTGCCATCTTATTTTAGGCTGTCTCAATTCCTTATTTGTTTTTCCAGTATTTAAGATGTTGTCCATTCACAAACAAATTTTACGAATTACAGAGCTGTAGCTAGTGTTACTGCCTTTCCCACCATTCACACTTGCAGTAAGAAATACTTGAAAATACGATTACCTGAGAGAGTGTATTTAATCCCTGCAGACTTCCCAGTTGTCTCATTGTCTAGCGAGAAAAAAAGTAGTTTAATGTTTATCATATATTCCTTTTGGTGCAACTGATTTCCCTTAACATGTGACATTCTCAGAGTTTGAGGTGGGTCAATTTGAATAAAATCATGGCAGACACAAATTGCCACAGAGATGTGTAGATGGTAAATGTGGTCCTGCCACTGCTGTTATTATTGCCACTAACATGATGATATTGCTTTTTACTTAATTAATGGAGCAAAAGTTTTATTTAAGTAGGGTTACATTGAAACATGGGAAATGGCTTATTCAACTGAGATATACACGTAATTGGGAGGACATTGCTTCGTTGAATTTCTTCTTTGCCTGTTACAAATTCATCCCAATGAAGAATTTGAAAAAACAGACAAATAAAACAAAAGCATCCCTCATTTCCTTCCCAAACAAAAAATCCCTCAACAGTAGTAAATAGTAAATATTGGAAGAACTTTTAAGTGTCTGGAGAGATTATCAAGGATGCCGCTGTTTCAATGAAAGTCAATTTCACGTTTTTAATGAAAAGAGATTTTGAGTGCTTCAGAGTGAGATTGAACTAGAAAGTAAGAAAAAACCCCAACAACTCAGTGAAATTAGCTTCCATGTGGAACAAGCATCTAGCCCAAGTAGGCACTGATTACTCTCAGGTTATCATAACATAAGACCTTGTAAAAAAAATTTTAATCTCTTGAATACCTTTTTCTTTATATATTTTTTATTCATATAGCCAAAAATTATATTTTGCTGTGTTTTTCTAGACTGAATATATATTAGTTGCAATAAAACAAACACACCATCCAAGCCATGAAGGAAATACAATAGCACAATGTTAATTTTATTTGTAGGACTTCTTGTAAGCAATTACATTTTGTATAGATAAATTTTCTTCATCAGAATTTTATCAATGAAAAGGAGTGGGACTAAATATAAATTAAATATAAACTACAGAGCAATATGTTTTAATTAACATAGTAATTATATTAATGTAATAATTTAGTTGTATTAATGGGTATGTAATATATAGTAGGAATTAATTGTTAGAACTGCTTTTTTTTCCATTAAATCATAGCTGTGTAGATTAATGCAGTCATGGGGTAAACTCTTATTTATTATCTGTGTGTGCTGTATTTTTTTTTTTTTTTTTTTTTTTTGCAGTTTTTGGCTGGGGCCGGGTTTAAACCCGCCACCTCCAATATATGGGGCCGGCGCCCTACTCCTTTGAGCCACAGGTACTTCTCTGTTAGAACTGCTTTCATTCACAGGCAGATGATGTCTTAAAACACTTGAGAGTTTAAAACTGTAGTGCAAGATCATGTTCTAGCGATATATATGACTTTTCTAGAATTTCTCAGGATGCTGCTGAAGGCTTCTGAGTAGGAAAGCTGAGAAACAGCTGTCTTATTTCTCCTTTACCAGAAATGCACAGTGCAAAGATTACAGATAAAACCTCTGGAAGTACATACCTCAAGGCTCAAACTAGCCATGCCTGGGACCCCTGATTGCTGAGGAAACACCTAAATGGAAATAAGAATAATTTTGAGTTTTCTCTGGTGTGAAACTTCCTTAAATGCATGTTGGGAACAGAAAGTCACCTGATATTAAGAACTAGCTGAGGGTTTTATTGCCAATGGTGTTTTATTACCCAAATGATGTGAGCTTTTGGGAAGAATGAAGAAAAGTTGAAGTTATTTGGGAGAATGGACATAATATTTAATAATTTTGCTCCCATGAGTCATCTGTCTTTTACATCTTAACGCTATGCTTACTTTAAAGCAAAATTTGATTTAGGTTAAAGTTATTCACAGTGAGAAGTAAAATAAAGCAATAAAATGGAAAACAAAGAGTACTTTATACTCTGAAAAATCACAGCAACAGAAACAAGCAGAAGGGACACATGAGCTGAATTTCCTTGTGCTTTTGGCAAACCTGGGTGCTTTCTGTTTGTAGGTGTGGCATAGGTTCACGGCATTCGGAAAAGTCATGTGCAAACCCCAGCTTGCCTCCCATTTCAAAGGGTTTTAGCAAATTCTTTGTTATCCTTAGTGAAAGATTATTTTATGTTTAAACCTGTAGATCTGTGTTTATATTTTTGCATCACAATAGAATATTTAACTACTGTTATACTTGACGTGTTCACTTAAAAGGTGTTCAACTTTTTTAATGAGTTCTAACCTCAAATTTTTCATATAAGTAAACTACCACCTTCTGAGTCATGGAGCAAATAATCCAGTTCTCCAGTCTTCAGTTTTGGACATGAAGAGACAGAGAAAGGCATTATAAATGTGTAGTAAACAGCCACAGAGAAGGTTAGCCACCTGCAGGATGGTAGGAAGGGAGAGTGATTGCATTTGCATGTGGGGACGTGTGCATGTGTGGAGTATGTGTGGGTCAGAATTTGAGAGATCATGAGAGCAGAACCTTCCCTCTTTGTCCCAATTCATCAGTACAGGAATAATCTTGGACAGCTTCAGCTACAAGAGAAAGTCTACTTTGCTTTTCCACTTGCTTCAAGTCATGAGTTAAAGAACAATATTTATAGGAATGTAAATAAACAGATTACATTTCCCAAGCGGAATTAAAGGGAAAGAACAGCCGATGTGATGGGCGGTCAGCTGGCAGTCAGAAGCAATTGTCCTGCTGCTCAGAGTGGACCTGGCGATCCAGGTGTGGACCAGGAGAAGCTTAGAGACTGAGGGTGGCTCAGGCCAGCCTCAATGTCATTATCACACACAGGTCAGCCAGGGTGGTGGCTCCAACCCTTTTTTCACTTAATTCATCTTGTGTGATGGAACAGAGACTCTGTTTGTGACGTAAATGTTTTCATACCTGTAATCAGTTTTCATCTTCTTTCTCCAAAATATTTAACTTTAAAAAAATAGCTAATCTTTTCTCTCAAGGAGTTAAATACCAAAAGTTCGTTCAAGGCCAGCTATGAACTCCTCATGACAAGAGATCCCATCTTATGTACCTCTGTGTCTCCTGGGCCCAGCACATCACTGGGACATGTGGCAGCTGCCACATCTGTCTGATACTTACTGAACACACACAGCAGCTGAGTAAATTCTATGTGACAGCAGTCGCATACCTCTGGCTGGAGTTGTTCAGGGTTCGAAGGACTGTGTGTGTATGAGGACACTAGTGTGGGCCAGGTGGGGAGAAGTCCAGGGCCCAGGGGGCTGTGTGTGTATGAGGACGCTAGTGCGGGCCAGGTGGGGAGAAGTCCAGGGCCCAGGGGGCTGTGTGTGTATGAGGATGCTAGTGTGGGCCAGGTGTGACCCAAAGCATACAGTTAGCCCCATTGCTGTGACCTGTTTTGATTTGAGGAACATCAGCTCTTAGTCACACAATTTCACTCTTACCAGGTAAATCTATTAGTTCATTACTAACTTCAAGTCAAATCACCTTGCTCAGTTTTGTAATCCTGGTAATTTGCCCAGTATGGTCCTTTTTAAAATGAAGAAAATGTGCTTTGCTTTTTCAGAGAAATTCTGTCTTTCCATTTCCATTTTGTAATGATAGTAAGGAGTTTTGCGATGCATTGTGGAGACCACTTAAGTCTTTAAACTTTGAATAGTGGAATATGATTAGGGATTATCTTTGGAATATTTTAAATATCTTTTTGAATAGATAAGTCATGTTTGACTGATTGATTTTGGATGGTGAGGCTGATATCTGGGCAACTATGGCTTTGTCCAGTGGGAACTGTACCACTGGAGTCCACGCAGGGCCTCCCTCCCTGGCCACCAGTGTTGCTGGGGTCCACGTAGGGAGCTCCAGGGCTCACTGGTGAGGCTGACTTACCGGCACCGCGGCACTCACGTGCAGGAACCACAGGGTCAGCAGCAGGCCCTTCATTTTGAAGAGTGAAATCTACAACAAAATTGAGTTGGAGAATTAAATCAGACATTTTTTTTCTCTCTGTTTTTTTTTTGGGGGGGTACAATGTGCTGATTTTATATACAATTTGAAATACTTCAGAATGGTTAAAAGACATTTAAAAAAAATCTTACCCTTCTAAAAACAACCTTGTTAAGGTAAAAAAAAAATAAGATCTTGATGTTGCTAAACAATTGATTTGTATTTGGTAGTTTCTAAAATGAATTGACAAGCAATTGAAATATGTTGAGGCCCTTCTTTTTCCCTTTAAGGGAGGGTTTTCCTAAGTAGACACATAGGAACGTCTCCCTGGTAATTCTTTAAGTGCTGTGTTTCTTCTTAGAAAATGAATCATGAATTTGAAAATTCCTGCCACTAAGAGAAATATTGGCCTAGAAAGTATCATTTGCAGACGTTTATACTTTGCTTATTCCCCTGGGACAAGTTTTGAAATGCATTTGTAATGTAAGACACTCAATAACCATTTTATAACAAGCCTTTATTTGTGGCTATATAGGATATATAATTCAACGTTTAGGCTGTCTGCATAACCATGCCAAAACTTATCTTTTTAAAATAAGAGTAAACCGAATATTTTAGTTTCCTTTAATATTAGTGAAAAATACATCAGAAAATTTAGTTTGCATCTTTCTAAAGTGAGTTATCTCTTTATACAGGGTGCCCATAAACTTCATGTGCAATTCTAAGTTTGTAACATTTTAAATTTGCACATGAACTGTATGGACACATAAACTTTATGGGCACCCTGTATTTATTTTATAAATTCTAAAGGCTCTTGACCCTTATATGAATGGAGACCTGCCTGGCCAGGAGATTTGCTTGTCTTCTAATACTTTTCAAAACTAGGCACTGTCACTAATAATCACAAATTGTGAAAAAAAGTCTACAGATAAGTCTTTTTCCTTCAGTTGCATGGGTATTAGGCATGTCTTCTCTGGAACACCCTAAGGGATTACAATAAGCTATTACTCAGCTTCTGGTGACAAATGAAGACAGATCCTCTTTATAGAAGCTGCGAAGATTGGAAAAAGGAATTCACAGGAAGCTCATACAGTCCCATTTACCTTAGATGCCGCTGTGCACTGTGTCCTCAGGGCCTGCCGATGCCAACCAAGATAGTCCCAGGGAAAGAAGACGGAAATGGTTTCTGCACTGTGTGTGGGACTCTCTCTGTACCTCTCATTCGGGGAAGATCAGAAACCTTTATTTAAAGTGCCAACCCGCCAATCAAAATGGGGGACCGTCTCTGCTCCTGTGGGAGTCCACACCCTTTCACTGCGTGCAAGGACATCAGCCGGTGGGGGTCTCATTATTTTAATTGCAGCTCAGTTCTGCATTTATTCAGGGAGACTGATTGCAGGGGAGGCAGGCCAGGAATAATGGACATGGGCTCCAAGGATAATCATTTTGGTGAGCTGGGGGAAATATCTGTAAAACAGACGCAAAACAAACCATTATCTGTTTTGTGCAGGTTTTTATCTGCAGATAAAGCTAGTTGCCCCAACACTAGCATTCTCAAGATGTTCACCCTCACGTTTGTTGTGGTAAAAGTACCCCCCCCCCCCAGTCTAACAGAAACACTAAAATGCCTCCTTGGGCTTGTGAGGAAAGACACAAATGTTAGGTGGATGATGAATGCGTATGAGTTCTTCTCCTTCTGAATTTCCTAGATGTTTTCCTATCTGATGATAATTGCCTGGCAATAGCCAAGATGTTCTAAGAAATTTTAATTGGACCCTCGGTAAGAATCACTTCCAGTAGAGCTATGGTGCATAGTTTTGCGCATGGGGCGGGGGCGGGGGTAAATCAGAACATTCTCCAGGAATGAATCCAATCACTGGGTACCCTCTCACCGTCTTTAGACAAACTCCTCTCTGGGATTAGTGTCAGGTGGGGTTTATGAGACAGCTGGGCCACCTGAAAGGCTAACACGACATGGACGTGTTTTCCCCATGAGTAGATAACTATGTCTTGAGCACAGTTTGAACATTGGCTACTTTCGTTATTTCTCTGCCCCTATGTGTCTTTCCAAAGTGTGATTTCAGACAGGGTCATTGGCATAAGCATTTAAGACTAGTTTCTGAAGAAGGGATGAGTCAGTGCACTCTTTGGGGAAGTAGGGATCTTGCCAATTACAGGGAACGCTGGGGAAGCTGATGTTTTGAGAGAAAGATGTCTCTGTGCCAAGTAGGCCTGAGAGCTTCAAATTCATGTTATGTAAGAAGCTGTCCCTGAGAAACTCTGTTTCCATCAAAAACATGGTCACCTTGAGGGAGCAAAGAGCATGTGAGTGTGCTTTGTAAACAGCAAAGTGCTGCTGAGATGAAGAGCGTGCTCTGTCTCTCTCTCCCAGCTCTGATGCAGTCAAGTCTCTTGCTCTCCCTGGCAGCTTCTGCCCATAGGGCAGGGATGGTGATTCATCCTCAGGCTTGTCCGGAATGTTGGATCAGACAAGGGCGCAGCAGCAGCCAAGCAGGGAGTGAGACTGCATGAGATGTGAGACCCAGGCAGTGTTTGTGTGTGCGTGCGTCTGTGTGTGCACGTGTGTGTCTTTGTATGTGTGTCTCTGTGTGTGCACACACTGTGTCTTCGTGTGTCTGTGTGTGTGTCTCTGTCTGTGTGCCTGTGTGTGTCTGCATCTGTGCGTGCGCCCTCTACAGCCCGTGAGCATGGTTATGACATGATAATAACGATGTTTTGCCAGGATTGTTACTCTCTCTGTGCTCCCACTCGAACACCCAGCATGTCTGTGGTTCTCTTGCTCCTTCTCTTTCTTAGTGTCCTACTCAATCCTGTATTATTGTCTTCTTGGTGTTTACCTCATAGTTTCTTTCTCTCCTAACACTTGGTATATTAACACCAGACGTGTCTTCCTGAGAGTGGGGCATCTTTGCCTCACTCAGACTCGTTCCTAGGATCCCTGCGGTTTCCTGTGAAGTTGCCTCCCTGTGACCAGGGAGTGAGGCTGCATGAGATGTGAGACCCAGGCAGTGTTCGTGTGTGGGAGGTTCAGTTCGTCCTTCCAGCCCTACCTCCCACTTCCTGTGAGACGCTCTGCACTGATGTATTAGTTGTAGTGATTGCTGTGTCAGGTGGAGTTGGTTTCATATTTTTTTAATTTTTGTGATAGATTTTTTAAAAAATTTAAAAATATTAGAGGTGGGCATGTTTTGTTTACATACTTTGCTTTTGCCCAGACTGAGTCAAAGTTATGTGTGCCCTTACCCAGAGAGTGTGTGCTGTGCCTGATAGGTGTGAGCTTACTATTACCACCCCCACCCCCTCCAGAGAGTGTGTGCTGTGGCCGACAGGTGTGAGCTTACTATTACCACCCCCGCCCCCTCCAGAGAGTGTGTGCTGTGCCCGACAGGTGTGAGCTGACCCATTACCACCCCCACCCCCTCCAGAGAGTGTGTGCTGTGCCTGACAGGT